GCATATCCTTTGCAGTTTGACTCCCCAAAATGGGAGGGAGGGAGGGAGGGAGGATCCTCTCAAGAGACATTATGTTATAATTAATGCTATAGCCCTCAGCAGCTTAAACAAAATTAAAAAGGAGCTGCCCCTGTCTGGAAAATATTGCCTGTCCCTTTGCTATGCCCTCCTTAATCTTCATTTTCCTCCTAGCTTTTCACACCTGATTCTCTGTAGCATTCAGAAATTTGAAAAGGATTACTGCCTTCTAAAATGTTAAGTTTTACTGATTCTCAGATACAATTTATATAGTGATTTGTTTTTAAATACTAAATTAAGCTTAGCAGTATTCATCTTGCATTTCCATAAATTGTGCTCATTTATTGCTTTGGCAATGCTTTGCATAATATAAAGAGAATATAAAAGATTTCAGATTCACTTTTCAGAGCAAATATAGCTATAGCATCCTGTCTGATAACAGCAAAGTGAACAGAGAGATTGTTTTTATGTTTATTTATTATGCTGTGTTAATCATGTAATTAACTAGCATATAGGAAAACATACAATCTATTTCAATAATTCAAAAATTATAAAAGTTATCAAATAATAGTAATTTATAAATTATTATTGTTTTTATTGTGGCTTTGAGTCTTGACTCCTAGTAACTGCCTGGACAAGTCTCTGCAGTTTTCTTGGCAACATTTTCGGAAGTAGTTTGCTATTGCCTGCTTCCTAGGGCTGAGAAAGAGTGACTGGCCCAAAGTCACCCAGCTACCTTCGTGTCCAAGGCAGGACTAAAACTCATGCTCTCCCAGTTTCTAACCTGGTGCCTTACCCACTACAGGCAGTCCTCGTTTAGTAACTGGCTCATTAGCGGCCATTCACAGTTATGACAGTGATGAAAAAGTATCTTTATGACCAATCCTCGCATTTACGACCCTTGCAGGACAAGGATTGAAGTAAGATCATAAGCACAGTCATGGTTTCACTTAGTGACTGCTTTGCTTAACAACTGAGTTGCCTGTCCCAGTTGTGGTTGCTAAACAAGGACTAACTGAACACCAAACTGGCTCTCAGTAATAAATACAATCAACATAAATTCAACATAGTAATACTGCCATAAAACCACAAGACTTTACAACACTGAAACAGCTAGATCCTCAGTCCTCAAACACATATTTTAAAAGTCATGTTTTTAAAAGCTTCCTAAATTCCAGGAGTTAGGGTGAAGTTTTTATACCTGGTAGGAAAGAATGCCAGAAGGGAGCTTCTGCAGAGAATGCTTTCTTCTGAGTCCCTCTCGTCACACCTTACGAGGATTTGAGATTCTTCAGCAAGCCCTCTCCACAGTACAGACAGTAAAGTTGTGGACTTTGTTTTGCTTTGGTGTGTTAAGTCTAAAATAATAAACTTTTTAAATATATCTACTGTCAAAATATAGTTTCTTAATAGGTTGCCACTAGAATACAATGCTGTTTCTGGAGCTGCACAAAAAATATTTAAATTGTATCTACATGTGGTCCCTGGGTCTTCTCCCTGTGAATTAGGGTAAATAATGGTTAATAGTGTTTTTCTACTATATCCATATTTGCCACAGGTGTGTACAATACTACTTCAGGCTACTAAAATTGAGGGGTGGGGATGCAGCCATTATAATGTGTTGTGATTTTTCTTGTTAGAGTATTTTATTGTAAAGGATTAAAAAGAGAAAAATGTAGTTGGGGAGTAGTTGGTATAGTTGCTAATTAGTTTTCCCTTGCCTAGATTGCCACAGCTTAATACAAAATTGCATTATTAGCTATGCAAATCTCTACAATTATGCAGGAATAATAGAGTACAAATAATGAGTAATCCCAAATCTTTGACTCCTAATTTTGCTTCTGGAAAAGCAATTGGCTACTGATTGCTTCACTCCTATAATCCAACTGAATTTGAAGTTGTTGGTTGACATTGTTTTGTTGGTTGACTTTTTAAAATAAGTTGAATTTGATTAGTTCATATAGTTCTATTGGAAAATGTTGGAGTAAAGAAATAAATTGGTTCTATTAGAGCAATGTTTCCCAACTTTGGCAATTTTCAGATGTATAGACTAATGAGTATAAAATGGAGAACCTCTTCTGAAGTTAACTCTAAGAAATAAGTGTCTTGGTCTGTGATACTGAATTTGGTAGGCATATTTTTAAAATGATATGTAACATGGAAGCTTTATTAACTTGCAATCAGATTATTCTCATTACATATGAGAATAGAATATTTCTTAAAATATTTCAAAATATTCAACAAGTTTCACAAAGTATTTTAAAAGTTAAAATTCAGTCATTTCTATTTGAATTTGACAATTGTTTCTGTTTCATTGATAAACCCTTATTCATGTGTTCTTATGTAATCAGGAAAACAGTATTGTATTTGTTTAATTATAATAGTGCTTCTTAGGATGCGAGCATTGACTTGGACAAGATACCCTTTATTCGGGAGTGTAAATTTGTGCCTATCTGGATACTATGCATGGTATTTGCACTTTTTCAGCATGTAGATAAAAAGGATGTTTATGTTCTTTCTGGTCTTTTTTCCTGCTTTGTAGCTCTCAGCCTTTATGTGTTAATTATCTTGATGTTACAAACTGAGGAAAGATAAGGAGTGCCTTTCTAACTAAATAAATATTGAAAGTCCTTCATTGAATATATGAAGGATATAAAAGCTTAATAATGATTTCTTAAATTTGTGTTCAGAGTAATACATGATCTATATTCTTGTGCATTTATCAGGTTTTAACTATTTTGTTCTTTAGGAATTTGGGGAAAAACGGCCTGTCAAACAGTAGCATTTTGTTGGATAAATGTCCTCCTCCAAAACCACCACCACCTCCATATCCTCCCTTGCCAAAGGATAAGCTGAATCCACCTACACCTAGTATTTATGTACGTATTTTCTAGAGATGGTTGTAAGAAGCATGTCAGTTTGAGGTATTGGACATATTTTCAGTTATCTGTGATCCATGCAGCTTTTTGGTATATACAGAGAGCTATTATATACAGTACTTCATATAGGATTTCCAAAGTAGTAAGACTTCCATTGTCATCCCAGTATTTCCTTTCAAACAGATGTTGCAAGTGGTTTATTCAGTAGCCAGGCTGCTATTAAAAAGGAGAAAATGTTCTATACAGAAACCAATTTACCATGCTTCTTTCAGGAACACTTAAACATTCACATCCTTTTCAGATGTCAGCTGGGAAAATAGATTTATAGTAACATATGTGTAAAAAGTAATATTATATCTGTAAATATGCTAGCTTATGCATAGATATTTCAGTATAAAAGTTATCATATAGATACATTAATTTCTGTAGGCTTCCAAGTACAATGATGTTTATTATTTCTTAGGCACTTTTAAAAAATCCATTTTATTTATTTATATGTGTGTGTGTGTGTGTGTGTGTGTATATGATTATTGTCAAATTTTTATAGGACCTCTGAGCATCTGAGCATATAATTGAATTATATTTTTGTTTGAAGAAGATTATTGTTGCACTTTTCTTCTATATACATTAAACGACTGTTTTATCACAATGAAGTCATC